ACAATTTTTACATTATTTACAATTATACTAAATTTGGTAATAATTGCTATCTCGTGTCAAAACTCCCCGTGACAATATCCAAATTTATCCGGATATCCATTTACTATTGATATCCGGATAATCCAACAGATATCCCGATAATTATCTGGATATTAATAGTAAATGGATATCTGGATAAATTTGGATATGGATATCTGATTGATAAATGGATTATGGATTGAAACTCTAATTTACAATAATATCACTGTCAACCAAATTGAAATATCAGAAATCGAGTCAATATTAAAACCGGTTTAACTTGAATTTGAAGTTGAATTGTACGAACAGGTTTCGACCTATATTCCGCATTATTGAATTTCCATAATTAACTATAAGGTGAGGCTGAGTAAATAAAAGTAATTTGGCTTTAAATTCTAGCGTAGATGTTAAATCGTCTACATTTTTTTCGATAGTTTTATATTTTATTTTCTAAGTAGTTTAGCATCCCAATAAAAGGCTTCAAATTTTCTGGTTATTATTTTTTTTAATTGCTTTTTTGTAAAGTCTAAAGTTAATTTTACAAATCCGGACTAAATATAAATATTTAGCCAAATAAAAAATTAAAAAATTCAATTTCATAAAATTGATCAGAATTGGAAACTTCACACTAAACGCATTATAATGTTCAACGAGGATATAGATGATGAACCTTTTATTCCAAAATACCTTAAAGGCACATATATAGATATACATAATCAAAATTCAGAACGTTATGATCTATTATATCTGCCAACGCGCTTCGATGATTCTTTATCAATGTATGTCAATTGCACAGATAGTAAATTAACAGTTAATTATATTGGTATTTATGCGAATTTTTATTTTATTTTATTTTTGATTTATACTTTACATATCATTTATAATCATGTTTAACAAAGGACCAGGAGTAAATGATGATCAAGCAGAATCAATTGCCACAAATTATCCTGTTCCACCTGAAGCTTTTATATACTATTTTGAAGTTGAAATTATAGATAAAGGCGAAAGTGGGTATGTTTATTATCAATTTTTTTATATTATCAATTTTTTTATTGTATGCTTAATTCGGGTAATATAACAATCAAAGTTGAACGGAATTTTTCGCCAAAATTTAGCCAAAAGTTCTATCCAATTTCGGTTTTTATTTTGTCCAAATTAATGATAAAACTCTATATTTATTTTATTCAATTAAATTAGGTATATTGGAGTTGGTTTTTCTGATGAATTTGAAAGTCGTCTTAGAATTTTACCAGGTTTATCTATTATCATAAAACTGTATATGAATTTGGAATTTATTCTTTTCACAAAGACTTATATGATTCTTTTGTTTATTCTATAATAGGATGGTATGAAGGAACAATGGGATATCATGGTGATGATGGATGTAAATTTGATGGAGAAGGTTTAGGACAAAGATACGGTCCTTTATATAGTACAGGAGACACTATTGGTTGTTGTATAAACTTTGTAGATAATAATGTTTTCTATACAAAGAACGGAATCAATTTGGGTGAATGATCCATTTTGTTAGATTAATTTACGATTTTATAACATTGTCAATTTAAAAGAAACTAAAAATTTTAATTAATTAATGCAGGAATTGCTTTTGAAAATAAACCAAATGAGGATATGTTTCCTATTGTTGGAATGAGAACTCGTGGCGAAAGTGTAGAGGCAAATTTTGGAATGAGCCCATTCAAATTTGACATTGACACTTATACTAAGGTGTTTATAACTTTTAAATATAATTTAATAGTAATAACTTGTGATTTAAAACTAATATATATTTTTAGGCATTTTTCTCTAAAACCCGAGTTATTGATCAAGAAAAAATCATGCGTGACTTCGAAAGATTAACAATATAAACTTACAGGAAAGATTATTGCTGTGAAGATCATTAATTCTCGAGACTTTGTATTAGTGTATATATAAATGCTCCAGAAACATACTCTTTAAAGTATACTCTGTATCTCTCATAGTTGGTGGTAGAATTAATGAATTACGGTATTATATCATTCTATAATATGGTAAAATTAATTTTTTTGCCGTAATTATGAATAGATTAGTGGCGGAACCAAAATTCAATCAGTATTGCTTAAAACCGACCTTATTCTGATTAATTCCAACCAAGAATTTTGGTCGATATCTTATATGTTGAATTTTGGTTCCGTATTCATAATTACGGCAACACATACGGCACGTGCCGTTATTAAATAATTTTCAAAATTAATTCTACCATCAACTATCTATACACATTAAAAATTTTATCATAACAATAGTTGATTGCTGTTATTATCCCCTGGCCAATTCCATCTACATGACTTTTTCATGTACTTATTCCTATTGATAAACGTCATAAACTTTATTTTTACTGGCTTACGTCATATCTAGAAAATTGGTAATGGTTATATCCCAGACAGTTGGGTATAAGCAGAACTCAAATTCTATTGTAAATAAAGGACAAGTGACTTAAACTTTCCGATTACTACTGTGAGCTGTGAAGGATGGGACCGGACGGGGTAACAACGTGATATGTATCACGTGACTAAGTACAAAAAGTTAAATT